ATCCATTGATGGGCACTTAGGTTGTTCCCATATCTTGGCTATTGTAAATAACACTGTGATAAACATAGGGGTGCATATATCTTTTTGAATTAGTGTTTTCATTTTCTTCGAATAAATACCCAGAAGTGGAATTGCTAGATTGTATGGCAGTTCTATTCTTAATTCTTTTGAGGAAACCCCATACTGTTTTCCCCAGTGACTGCATCAATTTACCTTCCCATCAACTGTATATGAGGGTTCCCTTTTCTCCACGTCCTCGCCAATACTTGTTATTTCTTGCCTTTTTAATAACAGCATTCCTAGGAGTGTGAGGTGAGATATCTCATTGTGGTTTTGATTTGCATAGGAAACTCCAGTTTTAAAAAAACTCACCCAGCCCAGCCCTATGCAAGCCCCAGTCAGGAGGCTGCACTTGCGTAGCAAGTATAGGAGTTGTGGCCACTCAGGCACCTAAAACTATGAGATAAAATTCTTCTTTCTGATAAAAAGAACTCAGAAAAGAAGTTCCTGTGGTCCAAAGAGTGGGGGGGAAATTCAGGTTATCTTTCTCTCTCTCTCTTCTCTCACCAGTTTGCTGCTGAGGTAGACCCAATAAAAGGAAGTGAATAACAGAACAGAACACTAAAACTTCAGCCCCGTGGCTAAAGGGTCAGCAAAAAGGATCTCCTGAAGTCAGAGAGTATGGGGGAAATCACAGAGAGGAAGGATCTGTAGTAAGGGATCCCTAAATCTGTGTATAAAGCTGCAGGCTTATCCTCTAAACTGCATAAGCATGGAATTAACCTGAGATGTGCTGTTACACTAGAGTTTAAACCGCTGATGAGTTCCCAGACTGGCACAAATAGCACTGTATAAACTTTGAAAACTACATTGACATGTAAACTATAGCCCACAAGATACAGGTTAAGACTTGCATCTGAAACTAACGAGGTTGGTTGCTGCTAAAACAAAATGCCAACAACATTCTCTGAAGAATTTAACAACGATATTCAAAAAGTTCTGGATACAACTGAAAAGTACTTGATATACAAGTACCTGTAAAATCTTAATAAAACTCACAGGTGCTAGAAAATTCACAAATGCTAACCCTGAGATGACTCAGATGCTGGAGTTATCAAACAATTTAAAGCAGAAATTATAACCATGCCTCATGAAGGGAAAATATTCTTGAAATGAATGGGAAGACAGAAGTTCTCAAAAAAGAAGTAGAAACTATAAAGAAGGGAAAAAATGGAAATTTTAGAACTGAAAAATACAATAACGGAATTAACAAAAAGCACATATAGCTTACTTGCATAATGGATATGACAGAGGAAAGAATTAACTTGAAGACAGAAATTTTCCAAACTGAAACTTTTTTCAGATTGGAAAGTTAACATATACATCAGTGGAATCCCAGAAAGACAGAAGAGAAAAACCAATGCAGAAAATTTATTTTAAGAAACAATGGCGGGCTTCCCTGGTGGCGCAGTGGTTGAGAGTCCGCCTGCCGATGCAGGGGACGCAGGTTCGTGCCCCGGTCCGGGAAGATCCCACATGCCGCAGAGCGGCTGGGCCCGTGAGCCATGGCCGCTGAGCCTGTGCGTCCGGAGCCTGTGCTCCGCAATGGGAGAGGCCACAACAGTGAGGGGCCCGCGTACCACAAAAAAAAAAAAAAAAGAAAAGAAACAATGGCTTAAAATTTCCAAAATTTGGTGAAAGATATAATTAAACAGATACAAGAAATTTGGTGACATCTAACCAGGATAAATGCAAAGAAAACTACATCCCAATACATCATAATCACACTACAAAAACTAAAAATGAGGAAAAGAATCTTGAAATTAGCCAGAGGAAAGCAACATATCACATATAGGGGAATGCCAACTTGAATTACCTCAAATTTCTCACCAGAGACCATGAGGGGTGTAAAATAGTGGGAAAATGTCTTTGAAGTTCAAAGAGAAAAATTTATCTTCCCAGAATTTTATATCCAGATAAAATAGCCTTCAGAAATAAAGGATAAATAAGGACATCTTAAGATGAAATAAAACAAAGAGAATTTGTCTCCAGGAGACCTTTTCTAAAAGAAAGAAGTTATGTAGGCAGAAGGATGACATTAGAGGGAAACTTGGAACTTCAGAAGAAGAAACACCGAAACAGTAAATAAATATACAAAATAAACTTCCTTAGTTCTTTAAAACGTATGACTATTGGAAGCAAAAATTATAAAATTGTCTGATGGGGTTTTTGATGGGTCTTCTGATCTTAAGCATATATATCTTCTCCAAAGCACCACCCCCATCCCAACTTGTCAGCCTCCAAGCCTTTCTTAGCCATGGCCAAAATTGAAAAGCAGCATACTGATGAATGAAATAAGGAGCCTGTTTAGTGTAGATATTTTACATTTGATAGGAGGAATGAAAACACGAGCTTTAATTTCATTTAAAGCTTCTCCAAAAAAAATCCCTAAGAATTGAATTTGTCTTTCTGTTAGTAGAACTTATCAACATTAAGAAGCTAGGTACTTTTTCACTGCTCCTTCTTGCCTCGTCTTTCTTCTTTAGTTTCTTACTTTCTTGTTCATGTCCTATTCCCTCCCCACAACTTCCTGTCATGCATAATGCATGACAACTGCAAGATAAAGCAGGTAGGGTAAAGACACCTATATAGCCATAAGCATTCTACATTTCACTTGAAGAGGTAAAATAGTAACTTTAAGTAGACTGAAAAATTAGGTGTAATCCCTACAGCAATCACTAATGAAAACTAAATAAAGGCATACAATCAAAAAGCCACATAAATTAAAATGGAATACTAAAACATATTCAAATAATCCACAAATCAGGCAAGAAACAGAAGAAAAAAGATGAAGAGAATAAGAAAATGGTGAGCCAAAATCCAAATATATCAATAATTACATTGAGTGAAAATAGTATAAACACACCAAAAGACAAATATTTTCAGACTAAATTAACAAAGAAGACCCAATTATGTGCTGGGAAAATTGTGTCCTAGGGGAAGGTAAATAGCCAAACATTTTATGGAATGATGGGTAAAGAGTCTGAATTAAATTGATGCCTGGAAGTGTCATCATGATCTGTCAAAGTGGGTGCATATAGAGGCCAGGTAATAAATGAAAACTGGCTCAAAGGATTCACTGGGTGCTTGAACCCACCAGTGGTCACTTTCCCGGTCCCAAATGTAGTCAGAATACGCATCCTTGGTAATGGCACAACACCTACAATGGATGCTTGGCCTGTGGGGTAAAAGGTGTTATGGTGTGAAATTCTAAAGGGAAGCTTCTGATACTGTAAAACTCCCTTCCAACACAGCAAGTCAAAATTAATACTACAGGGCTTCCCTGGTGGCGCAGTGGTTGAGAGTCCGCCTGCCGATGCAGGGGACACGGGTTCGTGCCCCGGTCCAGGAAGATCCCACGTGCCACGGAGCGGCTGGGCCGGTGAGCCATGGCTGCTGAGCCTGCACGTTTGGAGCCTGTGCTCCACAGCGGGAGAGGCCGCAACAGTGAGAGGCCCGCGTACCGCAAAAAAAAAAAAAAAAAAAAAATTAATACTACATCCCACTTGACTGATGGAGATGCACGCCACTCAACAACCTACAGAATACAGAGTTGGTGTTTCCAACCAGTTTTACACTTTCTTCACTAGTCTGGCCCCTGCAATAACCAGATGGATTCTAGAAAATTGCATTAGACTATGGCAAATTCAACCAAGGAATAGCCCTAATTACAACTACCATGCCAGGTGGGATATCTTAGCTTGAGCAGATTAAAATAGCCCCAGGTACACAGAATATAGCCACTGATTTATCAAATGCACGCTTTCCCATAACTATCGGAATAGGGGATCAGAAATAGTTTGAATTCAGATAACAGGCAACAGTATAAATTTAGAGTTTAGTCTAACTTCTTGGAAAATACCATGTTGATCCACTATATCAATGACCGCATGCTATCTGGGCGAGATGAGTGAGAAGTGGCTAGCATATCAGAGACCTTGTTAAGATACCTGTGCTCCAGAGAGTGGGAGATAAACCCTAACAGTTCAGGGGTAGGCCACATCAGTGAATCTGTAGTGGGCACGGGCATTCCAGGACATTGCAAAGTAAAAGATAAATTATTGCATCTTGCACCTCCCAATACAAAGAAACAGGCACGATGACTGGTAGGGCTCTTCAGATTCCAAGGGCATTCAATAACCGGGAACACTGTACTGACATGTACACCAAATGACATGGAAGCTTTGAGAGGGACCCAAAGGGGAAAAGCTCTGTAGCAAGGCCAGGCTACAATGGAAGCAGCCTTGCTACTTAAAACAAACCAGGCAGGCCCTGTGGCATTACCAGCTGTGGGAAATGATACCATGTGGAATTTATGACAACCTCCCAATGAGATACTCACAACCCAGAACCACAGAGCGAGGCCATACCACCTGTAGCAGAGACTTTAATATCTTCAGAAAAACAACTCCCTGTGCGCCCTTGCTGAGATGGAGGACCTAACCACGGGGTACCAAGTGACTCTACAGCCGCAACCGCACATCATCACCTCAGTTCTCTCAGACTCGCCTGAAGTCAGGTGGGCCCCGTAACAGTCCTTTTTAAGATAAAAATGCTCTATCAAGAACCAAGCACAGGTCCCTCATGAGCTATACCGCGGTTGCACATGCCGCACGTAGTCCACCAGTGTTACACAGAGCCTCTCCCTCCTGCCCTCGCCCATACCTGCGCAATCTCAGAAGACCATGGCAAAGGGATTTCCCCACAACAAACTCCCCCTGACCCAACAGTCAGAGTCACACTGCGACGGCAGCCGTCCCATGGGCCCGGCAAAGTGAGAGGGACAAGGCTTGGTCCCCATGGGAGTGCGAAGGCAGGAACCTCTGAGACCTGGTCACGGCACAGACCAGCACAGGCAAGCACGGGAGTCCATCCCCTTCCAGGCTGCCCAGTGCGCTGGGGGCCAAAGCCCCAGGGTACCGGCGGCGGCACAGGCTTACCTCTAGCAGGGTCAAATGCCACCGCAGCAATCCAACAGCACGGGCTTAGAGCATCCTCGGGGCTGCTTCTCCTCCCAGCAGCTGCGAGGGGTCTTGAGTTCGTCCCAGGAAACCGTCACTGCCTGCTCCTCGAGCCTTCCCCAGAATGGCGTCTGAGCACCGCTCTTCCTTTTGACTCAGCCCTACCGCCGGCACCCCGCGATGGGGCAGCAGGCTCCTTCTCCCAAGCCTCCGCGTCAGCAAACTTTCCCCTCTTATGAATAACCCGAGTGGCACCTGAGGGCCGGGCCCAGGGCCTGGTGGCGGCAATGCGGTGGAGTGTGGCGCTTCCCAGGAAGGCAAACAGGAGCCCTCAGGGTGCGCTTTGTAGCTTAGCGGGGAGTAAGTAGGCGCCCTGCTGGAGGGGCAGGGAGAGGACGCGCTGGGACGCGCTAGGTGTCAGGGAGGCTCAGAGAAGGGCAGAATCGGGCCCGAGGTGCTGCCGCCACGACCACTCTTCCTAGAGGAAGCCCAGTCTTGCAGTATCTCGGGGATAGAGTGGGGGCTGAGGGTCGGCATGGGAGTCCTGGGATGAGAAACACCTGGGTGCCCTCGGTCTCGGCAGCCCCGCATCCCTGACTCTTCTGGTTCACAGGACCTGACCACAAGAGGCACACAGTGCAAAGGGGTACGTGCTTGTGCCCAAGAATATGGATTTTTACTTACCACTGCTGAGTGAGCTAATATTGCTACCGATGGTGCCTCTAGAATGGAGAGTGCTGGTCTGCTGTGAGGGAGACAATGAGTACCAGCTGTGGCTCTGAGATCCGCTGCAGGGGCTGTAGTTTGTCCCACTAACTTTCCTCCGCTATAAAGTTCATTTAAGAAGAGAGGTCTGCTAGAATCCTATGGAAGTTGCTTGCAGATTGTTTATCGAGAAATTGGATGCTATTTGCACAAAGGGTGGATTTGGCGGACACTATGATATGTCCCCCGGATCTCCCTTCAGTGCAGGACTATGGCCCCAATTGTTGGAAGTGCTGCTGGCTGACAGGCTTCAGCTGTCCGCTCTTTCAGGGTTGACCTCAGCTGCAGGGAGTGACCTTGCTCAAGGTTTGGGAATCACATCCAGTGAATGACTGATAAAATTGTATGGAGGCCTGGCCATCTTGGCCAAACTCAGGACAACTCTTAAGCGGTATTCGAGCTCCGGAGAAACTTTTGGAGTAGGTGAAGGTTGTCACTGGTCCTAATTCTTAGCTTGACCTTCCTCTCTGCTCAATCCTATTTCCTTTTCGTCCCTTCTACAGGGATTGTCCCCAGGAAAGCTCCTTGATAAGCATTCAGCAAACTAAACTCAGTCTTACAGTCACCTTCTGGAGAAACCCAGCCTGTGACAATACTTCACACTCAGTGTGAATTTTTCTCTTTTGCATTTGTTAATTTCTGTCATATTCTTCTAAAATTATTCTTGGGTAGTTTCATGTCTGTGTCTTTTTAAGCTCTAGAACAGAGAGAAAGAAAGAAACATTACTGGCCATCTACCTAGTTTTGAAAGAAATGAAAGAAACATTACTGGCCATCTACCTAGTTTTTTCTTGTGTACAATACTTTTCCCCCCATAGTGTTCTCAGCCTTGACTTATGTTTGGATATTTCCAGCGGTATCCTGAGCAGACCGTCATGCACCACTCTGATGTTTACGAAGTCTCCTCCTTGTGTCTTCTAACAATTTGCCTTTGTTTTGTTTATTAATCCACCTCCACATGACAGTTTTAAATAAATGAAAACATCTAGCATGTCCTCTGCTGAATCTTCTTGACGCTAAATAAATCCAGTTTCCTCAACCATTCCTCATATGTTTCAAGATCCCTCACCATCATAGTTCCACCTCTCCTATAAACTTTTGGTAAATTGCTCATCCCTAAGCACAGAGAGAACTCAATTTTTTAAACTGTTCGCTCATTCCCATTATCAAAACATCTTGTCCAGAGTGGGTATTAAAATACAAATGAACAAATAGTACAGGAAAGATGATACTTCAAGTACTAATATACTTAAAAAGTATCCAAACCTTTTTATTTAATCCTCCTCTTCCTCAAATATAATGGCTTTGCCCATGAATGTTATGGTAGGAATTCTGGTCCCTTTGTGGGCCTAATATGGTTTATTAATGGTATCGTTACTCTGTGAAATGATTTGACAAATCAGAGGTAATTAAATTTTTCCTTCTTTTAGTTAAAAGTGGGTGACTGATTTTTATTCTGATTGTCATCACTAATGGCAGTGCGGGATTTAGCATTCTGTGCTCTGCATCGAGGACAGCAAAAGGGTGAGCTAGCTGTCAGTTTGACTGACATTTTATGCAAATGACATGAAGCAGTATACCTCTTGTACAGGGCTCATTGAAAATTATAATTGTGTATTTAAAAATGTATACAAGCCATATTTTATATTGACAGCATGTGTTTTGTGGTGCAGGTAACACACTACAAGAAACAAACATCCTTAAATTGCTAAGGAAATGAGGCTGCTGGCTATGGTAACATACTTAATTTTTTTCTTTTTTTGGAGAATGAAAAGTGTCCACTTCAATGATAAATTCTAATTATTAAATTCTGTTTTTAACTCCGAGTTCCATAGAGGGCTGCAGTCCACATCTTTTGATAACTTAAATGGCAATTTGCTTTGGAAACTACGATGATATGAGGCTTATGTCATTAGGAAGAAAAGCTCATTAAATTAATTCCCAGTTCATAATTTACTTTAGGAAATTATTAATGTTGAAAAGATCAGTTGGGAGGAAGATTGATGAGTTTAGTTTTCTCATGGAACACTGAGGTTGTAAAAAAAAGTTAACTGATTTATCATTTTTATATTGTGTGTACTTCTTAATGAGCAAGGTGACTTTTGGTTCAGTCGATTTTTATTATTTGATAGTTCCCTAAGAGAATAAGTTTCCCTCTTTGCTGAGGAGCTGTATGGCATAGTGGATATGAGCATAAGCTTCAGAATCAGAAGTTTACATTCCAACTCTGTTGCCTATTAGCTACGTGACCTTGGTCCAGTTGTATTTTACCTTTAACAGCCAAATTTTCCTCATCTGAAAAATGAGAATGGCAGCAATAATCACACGGTAGCTACTCTCATTATATTTTGGATGGAGCAAGGTTCAGGAGCTTTGGTATAATCAATGTTCTCTTCATATAAGAGAAAAATACTCTAACACAGATATTCATTAAAACCTAGAGAACAGTAAAAGAGGAAAAATTCAGGTATTCTGACTCCAAAGGCCGTTTTTTCCCACTTCTTAGCCCAAAACATAACAGGGTATCCAGCTGAGAGAAGATTTTTTTGATAACTCTAGAGAAAGATGCAGTATATTTTTCTTGGGGGCTTCAGAGAGAAAAGCTATTGGTAGATTATACAGTAAATATTAGACATAAAGTAATCTCAGAATGAGAAGGGAAGGAAAATGAATGCTGAGTTCTTACTGTGTGCCGAACTCTGTGATAGCACCTCCACGATTTTACAGCCTCCTTGAACTCTGTTCAGTGTCTGTGGGAACCTCAGTCAACAACCACATAGGTATGTCTTCCATGAAGGCCTGCACGTAATACCTTTGTTGCTATAGCCCAAGGCTCCAAAGTTGTCCTAACCATTGCTACAACCTCAGTTACTTCCAGGGAGCCACCAGTCTTGCTGAACATTCTGGCATTCATAAAGCACTTTGTTAGCTAGCAAGGGCTTTGCCTCCAAGGATGGCTGGAGAGTACTTTCAGAAGTGATGTCTTATGATATTCTCAGGTGCCTGTTCCTCAAGTGGTAGTTCTACTACTGTCTTGCATGTTTTCTCTTAAAATACATAGCATGCAAGCCTTCCCAGAAATGAGACGTTTCAAGCTGTTACATGGTTCATATAGGGGTTTCTTCTATGGGGACTCGTTAGAATCCACAGACCCAGGATCCAACCTATGACTTAAATGTTTAATACGTTATTTCCTCCTTACCAAGTTGCCTCTTAAGTGAATTGTAGCAATTCTAATGTAAAATAAATATTGAAAGTAAAATATTGGCCTCATATTTAGAAGGTAACATTTTATAAATTTGGGGTACCAGTTCAATTTACACACATGGTCTCCAAAGCAATAGTGGCATAAACTCTCAGTATATATCTATTGTAGTAAATTTATAATGCTGCTATTCAAAATCGGGAATAATCAGAGGCACCAAGAGATACACAGGGATCTCAGAGAGGAAATTTTGTTGAAAGAAAACAATAGATCATAGCAATAATATCTTTTCAAGGTACAGAAAAATGGCCTAAGGTACCTTAACTGGTTTCTTTTCTGAGGCTCTGAGATCTCAATTGTGAAAGATATTTTATTGCGGAGAATAAAAAGAAAATATCCCAGAAGCTCTAGTGAGTTAAAGGGAAAGGCCGCTGACTGAGGCAATCAAGGTAAATGATGCTTGTACGATGCCCAAGGCCCAGACTGAGAACTAGAGGGACCCAAGGTTTACTGACTTCAAGGCAAACCTAACAGCTTAGCCCGTGAGCTGGAAGGTCTGTTGAGACACGTAGTAAATCAAACCCAATTAGTTCCCAATGCAGACAGTTCAAGTGGGAAGTGACTTTCTAAAAAAACCTGCTTGTTACAGCAGTGTGGGTTAGTGGCCTTCTTTTACTTTAGAATACTTCTTAAATGAATTTTGGGTTGACAACACCCTTCTTCTGATTCTGGAGGGAAAACTCTTACATGAAAGGTGAAATTATTTGAATCAGTCACTCAGTCCTGCTGATTGCCTGTGGACAAGGCCTATCTTCAGATCAGAAAACGGAATTCTTATGTCTGATTACAGTTTTATTATAGGAACATTCATATATATTTTTAAAACCTATCAAGAAGAAAATAAAAGACAGAAGCATATTACCTTGAAATAAAAGCTGTTAATCTTGAAATAAAAGCTGTTAATATTTTCTTCTAGAAACATCATAATTTTATAATAAACATTTTTTAAGCAAACTTTGCACACATCCACTATTATTTCTTTAGGATAAATTACTAGAAGTAAAATTTGGTGGTCATAGTTTATGCAGAAGTTTAACACATCGTATTTATCACAAAACTGCCCTCCAGAAGGTTGTGTGAACTAAATATACTGCCAGCTCTTTCTATCAAAGTATTAATGGTGTAGTCTTTTGCATTTCTTCTGGGAAAAGCCAGGTAGCTCCTTTGTAGCAGCGATAAATTGGCTCTCAGGAGTAATGGAAACAAAAGAGCCTGAACTTTGGAAGTATAGAGACTTTATTTTGGATCAGAGACAAATTACTTGTGATACTACACTTCAGGAGAAACTGAGACTGGAGATTCAGGAGGACAAAATGAGGACTGTTTGGTGAGCTACTCAGCCCTACCTGGAGGAGTGTGTGTGTGTGTGTGTGTGTGTGTGTGTGTGTGTGTGTGTGTGTGTGTGTGTGTGTGTGTGTGTGTGAAATGCACACAAATGTTGTCTACCCAAAACATGGAGAGTCTAATGGTTTGAACAGAGGTGTTCCTTTTATTTTCCTAAGTTTCCAATAGAGCAAGAGATTATTGTAATATGGTATAATTTATTGATAGACTGATTTTATAATTGCTTATTGAACACCAAATGAAAATATGGGTGTTCCAGATGTTATATCAACTAATATGAAAAAGGACTCATATTCTTCTCTCTGCTTTGTTAAAGCATTGTATGAGAAGTTGACTGCCATGCAGAGATGCCATGTGCTTTGAAGAGGGTAACAGAATTGGAGGTGCATTTCTGGAAATGAATAGTGTAGCTTCAGTAATGGATAAAAAGGGCATAGAAAGAGTTTGAATGATTTTGGCTTTGAGCAAAGAGATAACAGATTGTATTAAACAGACAGGGACATTGCATTGCTGAGGATGAGGCTGGGGCACGTTAGCTGCAGCAGGAGTATCTACAAGTAAACTAGGAGTGGTCTCCTCTAAGAACTTTGCCAGTGGGAATGCAGAGGTGTTTGTATTTTATAGACCTATCCAGCTTATTTATAACAAGAGTTTCTGTCCTCAAGCTTTGAAAGATAGAGGTAGTAAAGGGGGTAATAAGTGGCAAGTGTGTTATAATCCCTGTCTTTAAAGTTCAAGGCTGTGAATGAGGAAGAGAGGTGGGTAGATAGCACTGAGAACAGGCTGGATCAAAACACCAAAATGTTTTAATTTTATATATTTAAAAATGCATTTCTCTGATTATAAAAATAATGTAGCTTATTACTAAATATTTTGAAAAAAGCAAAGTATAAAGAAGATAATGAAAATGATCCATAATCTCACAAGCCTTTTAGTTCAAATGCTTATACAAACACATACTGTTAGCGCATAACTATTTTGCCTTTATATCTTAATTTGGAAATGTGTAACTGAAGAGATAACAACTCAGATAATTACTGTCTTAGTTTCAGCAAAAGTTTGCAGAATAAACTTATTAATATCTTATT